GGGTGTTTCGGTTATTGGTTTTTTCTTTCTAATAGTGTTTTATTCACCTTTCTTATCTTCATTATTCAAACACTCTCACCCCCCCCCAGGCCCCTTCCCCACCCTCTCCCATAGACGCCGTCCTGAGCCGCCTCCTTCACCCTCCTCCATCCTTCTCCCTTTTATCCCAGCGCCTCCTCCGCCCTCTCCAGCGCCTCCTTCGTCGGCCGTACCTTGTAGATGAGGTCCTTGAGCGTTCCCTTGTTGTTGTGCGGGATGACTGTGATGACGTAGGTGTGGGAGGAGATGTTGGCGAAGTCCACGTCGAGCACAGGGTAGATGTACGGGTGGTGGAGCGCCTGCGGGAGGAAGCAAGGGGGGGGGGTCATTAGTTACTTATTTGGTGGATTCTTCTTTTAAAAATCAAAATAATAATAATGATTGTAATATAAATTCTAAAATTTGTGATTCTTAAAAAAAAAAAAATGATTCTAAAATTTGAAAATAGAAATGATAGGAAAAATAGAATGAATATACAACACATACGTACTTTAGCATGCCATACAAGCACTACATATCTCCCACATATAGACAACCCCACATAACGCCATAGCCACCTCCAGGGCCAACCAACCTGGAAGAGCTCCATGAGTGCCTCCCGCGTGCCCGGCGTGACTGGCACTGGGCACTGCTCGTCATACGGCTGTAGAGTCATTAGTCGATCGGTCTTCACAGAGGAGTCCCGGATGATGAACCAGTTCTTGTCGATGCGAGACCCCTGGGGAGGGAAGGGGGGGGGTGAGGTTTTCGGTCATAGGGGGTGACTAACGGATGCTGTGGTGATGGGGATGGTGATGATGGTGATGCGTGTGTGATGTTGCTGGTTTGCTACTAGTAATGATTTTGATGATGATGATTGGTTGTGGTGGTGGTGGTGGTGGTGGTGGTGATGATGATGATGATAACATATATGGTAAGAAGAATTATGATGATAACAATGATGATGATATCAATAATAATATATTAATATATTCTCATTAATTCATTTATCATTATATTATCATATCATTTCATTATAATCATCATAATTCATATAATTAATTTCATTACTAACATCGCCATTATTATTTTTATTATTATCATTATTATTTTTATTATTATTATTATTATTATTATATATTATTATTATTATTATTATTATTATTATTATTATTATTATCACTATCACTATTATTATCCTCTTTACTATCATTATTTTTACCATTGTTATTTTTACTATTGTTAACATTATTGTTATCATTATCATTACCTTCTTTGTCAATATAGTCATTATTATCATTATCATCTTTACTATTATAATATTAATGGTAATAATAATGACAATTATTATAATAACAGTGATAGTTATATTAGTAATAATAGTAGTAGAGATAATGGCGTTGATAATAATGATAACAACAAGACTAATAATAACAATAATGATAATGATGATAACAATAATGATAATATTGATAGTAAAAATAATATCAATAGGAATAGTAACTCTAATAGTAAAAATAGTAGTAGTAATAGCAGCATTAGTAATTGTAGTAGCAGTAGTAGTAGTAATAGTTTTAGTAGTAGTTGTTGTTATTGTTGGTGTATTGTTGTTGCTGTTGAAATAATATTAGTAATAGTAGTAGTTGCAGTAGTAGTAGTAGTAGTAATAGTAGTAGTAGTAGTAGTAGTAGTAGTAGTAGTAGTAGTAGTAGTAGTAGTAGTAGTAGTAGTAGTAGTAGTAGTAGTAGTAGTAGTAGTAGTAGTAGAGTAGTAGTAGTAGAGTAGTGTAGTAGTAGTAGTTGTGGTTGTTGTTGTTGAAGTGTAGTAATTGTGAGTAGTAGTAGTAGTAGTTGTTGTTGTTGTCGTTGTAGGAACAGTAGTAATAGTAGTAGTAGTAAAAGTATTAGTAGTAGTTGTAGTAGTAATAGTTGTTGATAATAACGATTGATGTAATAAAAATCATAACAACAGTATCAACATTAGTAGTGAAGATTCTAATAATAATAAAAAATATAAGACAAAAGCTATACCTGAGAAATTGATAAAAAAGAGATTAATAAAAAACTTTAAAGTCTAAAATAAAATAAACTGAAAATAAACTAGTGGCAAGAATTCGACCTCACTCAACACTCCTCTCATTCACCTGATCTTCACTTGACCTCGTCTCTCCCTCCTCTTACTCTCTGCGGTCAGCCTCTTTAAGCCTCTTTCCCCTCTCTCTTTTTCTTGGCCTATTCAGGGATCCCCTTTCTACTCTTCTTCTTGAGTTTTATGTATTATGTGAGATAGAGTGAGGGAAGGAGCGAGAGGGAGGAGGGAGGGAGAGGGAGGAGAGAAGGGGGGAAGGGGGGAGAGGGGGGAGAGAGAAATATTAGAGAGAGAGAGAGAGAGAGAGAGAGAGAGAGAGAGAGAGAGAGAGAGAGAGAGAGAGAGAGAGAGAGAGAGAGAGAGAGAGAAGAGAGAGAGTAAGGGAGATAGAGAGATAGATTGATGGATAGATAGATAGATAGAGAGAGAAACAGAGCCAGATATATTGATGGACATATATAGACAAACAGACAGACAGACAGACAGATAAGCAGAGAGATAGAGGGAGAGCGAATCACAGAGACAGACAGCCAGAGAAATGGAAGGAAGAGAGATAGAGACGGGGAGGCTGGCAGTTATAGGTGACGAGACGAAAATAGAGGATGACAGATAGAAAGGGGAGGAGGGGGGGGAGGGAGACAGAGATGGCAGATTTATGAGAGAAGAGGATGGATAAAGACCAACGGCCGAGGGAAGAGAGAATTAAATTCGACATGGTAAGAAAACGGAAGAAAATGCATAGAGGGTAGATAGAACAAGATAAAACGATAAATCATATGTCAAGGAAAACAAAAACAACAACTCCCACTAGAATAATGATTATAATAACGAATTTATGAAACACAACGAAATATATGAAGTGCTTTGTCACCCTCCTTGTCACTGATTGATTAATAATATATATTATCTTCTACTGCCCTAAAAAAAAGACATCAAAATCATATCAACCCTGATCACATCGTAATGAAAAAATAAACGATGAATAAGCGAACTGTAATCAAGAAATTAACAGAAAAAACACAAGCTGCCTAATGACACAGAAAGAAGATAAGTGAGGACACCGTGAGCTATAACTATAATAAAATGATTTGTGATAAGCATAATGATAAGGGTAGTGATAATAACATTCGGAAAAATGTTAACAGGAGGATGATAGACAAGCAGATAATAATGCATTTGATGACAGAAGCCGTGATAGAATGAAATATGAGGATATCACGAGGATAACAGCAACAAAAATGATGAATGTCATGTGATAGTCGGATGTCATGATGAGTGATGAATCTAGGCTATGATAATGCCGAAAAACTTGATAAGAATGATGATAAAACGACGATAATCATAATGCGTCATGCGGGAATGAAGAAATAATAATGAACAGCAGTGAATGATAACAGCAGAAGATGAGTATTAATTATGGCATGCAGTGCACATCACACACACTCACTCAAGTCAACCACACAAACACCCTCATACATCCACACACACACACAACACACGCACACACACACACACTCCTCACATTCACACACTCACATCACACACTCATTCCACTACCACACACTCACTATTCACACACAACACAGCACCACTACACAAACCTCAACTCATCACCACACAACACACAACAACGGTACAACCCTACCATCACACATCCTACTCACCGGGGCCACAACCACCTCAACACACACACAACTTACTCAACACACCACTCACACAACACCAAACACACACAACACAACCACTTTCCCACACACACTCCCAACACACACCACACACACAACGACAAACACATCACCACACACAAGGCACTCATCAGCACACGCACACACTCACTCCCATCCACACACACACAACACTCCTGTCACTACTCACGTCACTCACTTAACCTATCCACATATCACACACAACAACCACACTCACGCACACACGACACACACTCACACACACACCACACACATCACTCACACACAGTCTCACTCACCTTTCCCCCCCCACACAACACAACACACATCCACATACACACACCACACACCCAAACACCACCCCAACACGCACATACCACACACAGGCACCACACACACAACACACACAGGCACCAACACACACCTCACCCCAACATCACAGGACGAACATGCAAACAAATAATAAGTAATACGAATAATGGTCTATATAAATATCTACATAAAAATAACGATCTACACAGCGGCCTTCGCTCACCGATGTCCCTCAGGTGCTCGAGCAGGGAGTAGCGCTGGTGGCCCCGCAGGTAGGACCTCGCCGCCAGGGCCGAGTCTCGCGGCTGGCTCCCTCGCCGCCTTCCTCTCCATCTCCATCTCTCCCCAGCCCGTCGTCCTCCAGGGCAGAGTAAGAGTAGCGCGCCATGTCTGCGCGAGGGAAAGAGAGGGGGAGAGTTGGTGTGTTTCTGAGGGGAGGGGTGAAGGGGGGGGGGGGTGGAGGGGTTAAGGAGGAGGGGGCGTAGGAAGGGAAGGGGGTGAAGAGGGGAGGGGGGAGGAAGGGGTAGGAAGGGGGAGGGGGAGGGGGAGGCAGGGAGGGGGAAGGAGGGAGTGGGAAAATGGGAAAGGGAAGAAGAAGGAGAGAGAGAGAGAGAAAGATGGGAAATGAAAGGAGTGAATAGAGAGAGAGAGAGAGAGAGAGAGAGAGAGAGAGAGAGAGAGAGAGAGAGAAAGAACAAGCAGCCAAAAGGCAGCAACATATCTATATCCAGAACAACATAGCCATTAAGACCGTTTTTCCCGTGACAAAAGCGTGCCGTTGCGTCCCTGGCACTGGCACTCTCCACGGAGGGAGATTAGGAGACCGGAGATTGTGCCACAGTCAGAGGGCATAATTGGGACTAATGCGATTTCCATGGGGATAATGTAATCATTCAT